CCCCCTGCAGTGCCTGGTGCCCGCCTCCCCCCCGCCGGTCGAGGCCGCTGACTTTGGGGAGCGCCTGCGGCGGCAGCTTGTGTGCCTGGAGCGCGTCACTTGCTCGGACCTTGGCATCAGCGGGACGGTGCGTGTGCTCAACTTGGCCTTTGAGAAGCAGGTGACGGTGCGCTACACCTTCTCGGGCTGGCGCAGCGTCCACGAGGCAGTGGCACGGTGGCGTGGGCCCGCAGGCGCCGAGGGCACCGAGGACGTCTTCGCCTTCGGCTTTCCGGTGCCGCCCTTCCTGCTGGAGCTTGGCTCTCGCGTGCACTTCGCGCTGCGCTACCGCGTGGCAGGGGCTGAGCACTGGGACAACAACGATGGCTGCGACTACAGCCTCACGTGCCGCAACCACGCACTGCACATGCCGCGCGGGGAGTGCGAGGAAAGCTGGATCCACTTCATCTGAGCCGCGCACCCGAGTCCTCTCCCAGCTGGGCTCTCACGTCTAGGGGGCGGTTCCTCCCCTCTTCCCTCCTCACCCCCAAGTCATCTGACCTCATTTTCTCCTGCGAGGTACCCTGGCAGTAGCCCGTCCTGTCTTCTACTTGAAATGTCTGTCACTTGGTCTAAAAAGTTGCCTCTGAAGTTGAGTTGTGCAATGTGCTGGGGAAGGGGGGTGGGTGGGTGGTGGGTGCATGGAGGACGTTTGTTTTTTGTTTTTGGAAAGGCCTGAGTCCTGCTGCTAGGAAGACCCTGTGCATGTATAATCATAGTTGTTATTTATTGTTGTGATGTTGGGACCTTTTGCCCATAGTGGATGTCTCCTCAGGAACATTATGGATTTAATAAGCTTTAAAGAAGGGGGGTTCTGTAGTGTTTGCGCCCATTGTAAACAGAATGCAGTGTGACCTGCACCATGGTCCCTCCTGGCATTCCTGTCCCAGGACAAGGAAAACCTGAGACCACTCGTGCTTGCCAATGCCTGCAGCCTTCTAACACTAGGAAACTATTAATAGGCAAGAAATGTATGCCTCTTCAGTCATCACACAACCGTTCCTGGGCACTGAGGCTGTCCTGGCAGGCTATGTGTCTCCTACACCAGTAGCTGAGAAGGAGACAAAGCTTCCAACTTTTAAAAAATCCTGCCTTATTTCCATTTTCAGGTGACTACAGAACTTCAGGCAACAGGGCCCTTTGCAATTACCTTTTGATGATACAGGTGACTCTCTTTATTTCTTCCTACGTATCAGAAGATTCCAGCATTTATCTTTCAGGAGTCAGTTAACGAGTGGAACTAGAAGGTATTTTCGGCAATAGTCAGGGCACTGGAGGAAACATCATTCACAAATATTTATACTTTAAATGGGTTTAAACTGTATTCACATGTCATGCTTTATCAGCTACCTGCCAACCTGATTCTCTGTGCCTTCAGACAAGAAAGCTTCTCATATTTTCTGAACTCGTTTCCCAGTTCAAACTATCAAATGCCTTTTTTTCAAACCTCCAACCAAGAACTCAGGACCACTGTTCCTGCAGGGTGCTGCAGTGACAACTCCCATTGAGGAGCTGATGGGTTCCTTTGGTGCCGAGCAGAGGTCTCTCTGACAGCAGGTGCTAGAACTGAGGTGTGAAACAACCAGCCAAGGTGGGAAAGGATCTCCAATTTGTGAAGTGTGTTTCTGATACAGTTGGAACAAGTGTCATCAGCTTTATGATATGTCACCAAAGAATTCACTCTTAACTTCTGAATGCTTGTTAAGATCTGTCAAATCAATACTGAGAGGATTCATGTTGCCTTTTACCTATTTTGGTTTTGATAACTTCAGCCTCTATCCTTTTAAAACTCCAAGAACAAGGATGGCTTTCTTTGGTACCTTTTGACCTAAGAACACTGAAGTTTGATTTAAAATGTGATTAACTGCACAGTCTCTGCCTGTTAACACTGTGCACTGCATTGACATGCAAAAGCTAGAGAACCCTGGTTGCATTTCCTGCTATTTAACAAACCATCCAATTAGGTCAGCAAGCCTGTGAGGGCTTTGGCTGCTAATGCCCTTGGCCCTGCTCAGAGTGCAAGACAATGATCCAGAGGATTCGGGTGTGAGTCAAATGCATTGTTTAAGGGTATGCGGAGACTCCACATATGAAAATCACAAAAAGGTTCTGGTTATGAGATACAAAGTAAGTGTTATATCTTCAATATTCAGAGAACCTCAAGGTGCCTTTCTAAAAATATCAACATTTTGAAATGTAGAAGCCTAAATATACTTGCCTGGTTGATAAAGAAGCTGTGGACAGCTTAGAGAGAACTTCCAGACTTTAAAACTTGGTTATATTGCTTAGATGTTAACATTTTGTAGTGGATTGTGCAATTGCTGAGTTGTCTCCCCAAACATATTTTAATGTCTGTCATTTAAAATGATTCTACTCAAGCCTAAGTATTAAAGTATATGTGCAGAAATGGCCATGGATTCTTCTATTAAGCTAGAGTGTGTTTTTCTTGTGGCCTAATTACAGAAGATAAAGCTCTAGAAATTTCTGGATTGTTTAAATCATCACATGTAGTCTTATCCTTTCTAAAACAGATTAAATATAGGGATTTGGCAAAAACAAAACAAAACAAAAACCACCAAATTTAATAACTGTGCCTCAGCTTCAGGAGCAGAGTTGTGTATGTCTTTGAGAAAGGGAAACAATCTTATATGCCAGGTCAAAATCACATGTGAAGAAAACCACAGGGGAACACAGGGATGTGATAACAATTGTACTTCCTTGCAGCATTTGCTGCCCAGGTATGGAGTAATCAGTGGGTGTCTGCCTCCCCTTCGATTTAACCCTTGCCTAAGTACAAAGCCTTGCACACAAGGGGAAGGAAACTAGCATTTATTGTGCCCTCCCTTATTGGCTTGGCCACAGTGCTTTATGAACTTGCTTTCATTAATTCTCAAAATTACAATAGCTGATAGATAGTAGCCCCATTTGCTTAGCTGAAGAGAGTAAGGCTCAGAGATGTTTCAGTATAGTCACATGCAACATAACATTTCAGTCTACAACAGACTATTTACTGTGGTAGTCCCATAAAATAATAATACCATATTTTTACAATAACTTTTCTATGTTTAGATACACAAATAACACTGTTACAAGTGCCTATGGGGTTCAGTACAGTCACACATTGTACAAGTCTGTAGCCCAGGAGCAAGAGGCTGTACCTTATAGTCCAGGTGTGTGGTGGGCTGTACCATCTAGGTGTGTTTAACAGCACTGATGTTCACACAATGACAAAACAGCCTGAGGACATGTTTCTCAGAACTTATCCCCTGTTATTAAGCAATGCATGACTGTAATTCACCTAAAGTCCCACAGCTGGTGAGTAGCGAATTGAGTTGAGCATTCAAACCTATGCTGAAGTCAATGCTATTTTTGCCTGTGATATGACATACAGGATGCTTCCAATAAGTGCTTGTTTAACTAAAACCAAATTTTAATTATAACTGATAAGGTTTTTACATCAAACATGACAATCTAAAACCTTTAAAACACAAAATAAGATTACAATGAGTGATATTTTTTTTCTTCCATGTTATACTTTACTATGTGAACTAAATATTTCCTAGGCATTCTGAACACATGAAACCACGGAAAGGGGTCTAACTTCTTCCTTCTGTCTACCAAAAAGTAGCAAGGTGAAAATCACTACTGTTATTTTTTGAAGTGTATTAGTGAAACTCGTATTCACATGAATTTAAGATTCATGAAGGGTCTTCAATCTATTGGAAGAAAATGAAACGTGAAAATAGTTACCCTACAAAATTGTCAGGTCAGAAGGTGAAGTAATCTACAATCTTACGTTTTGTATTATACAGTATCAAAACTTAAATGTGTGAAGGATTCAAAAGCATTAAAAACTTTGGCTATATAGAATTCCCTCAAATCTCTGTGTATATTAGATTGAATATGTAATGCGGAAGCTCTGAATTAAAAAAAAAAAGATCTCAGAAATTAATGGAACAGTCCCAAAGTTGTCCAGAAGTCTGCAATTTCAGCTAGGCAGAATATTAAAAACACTCGAGAGCTTATGTTTTAGGTGATTTGATCTACTCTAGTCCTCCACTGAACTTTTGTTCTATTCCCTTGTGTTTATTTTTGCTCGTGCTTTCCACTGCACATTTAAACCACAATCCAGTATTTGTAAAGAACTGATGACTTTTACATAGACGATGGAGATGCTACTAAAATATAATCTTAGTTTTGATTTGGCAACATCTATAAAAAGCTGACCTCTACATACCCTTGGCTATAGCAATTCCACTTTTAGAAATGTATCCAGCTTAAAGGTTGCTTACTGCAGTATTATCTGTAAAAAAAATGAAAAATAGGAAGTATTGTGAATGCCCCTCAAAGGAGGAGATTCCTCAGATGAGGTTAATCCTCATGACTCGGCTTGGCGTGGGGGCTCATGCCTGTCATCCCAGCACTTTGAGAGGCCGAGGCGGGCGGACCGCTTGAGGCCAGGAGTTCGAGACCAATGTAGGTAACACAGTGAGACCCTGGATCTACAAAAATAAAATTCATATGACTGAACAATTATGCCCCTGTTAAAAAGACCGAGACAAATCTGAGTCACGTGGCGCTCTTCTCATCACAGGGTCAAGGCACCCAAGCGCGGGCTGGGTCCCCTTCCCGTGGCCTCCGGGCGAGGGGGCAGGGACCACTCAGCCTCTGCACTGTCCACGTTCGAAGGGCTCGCGGGGTTCACACAAGCATCCGCTGGTGTTATTTAAACGGATAATTTCGGTGGAAACACTATTCTCACTCACACGTGGACCCTGAAAGTCAATCGCAAAAGCACAGAAGGAAAGCAGCGGGACATGACAACGCAAAGGGCACCTGGTTCCGCCGAACCTGGGCCAGTGAAACCGGCCGGAGGGCCCAGCCTCACCTGCACGTAGATCACTTATGTGCCCAAACCTAATCCGTACCTCACATCTTTATAATAAAATTAAGTTTAAAAGAAGAGAAGGCCGGGCTCGGTGGCTCAGCCTGTAATCCCAGCACTTTGGGAGTCCGAGGCGAGTGGATTGCCTGGCCTGAGGGTTCGAGACCCGCCCAGGCAACTTGGCGAGACCTCGTCTCTACAATAAATCAAAAATTAGCCGGGCGTGTTAGTGTGCGCCTGTAGTTCCGGCTACTTGGAAGGCTGATGCGGAAGGATCTCTGGAGCCC